AAAAACCAATGAGTAAGAATTAAAACTCAGACAACAAATGATGATCCATGATTCAGAATCATTTTGACCCATTTTGACCTATTTTTTTGACCCATTTTTTTTACCCATTTTGACTCAGTGTTGAACTTTGGTTTCTTCTCAGAGATGGTTTCCACACAAAAGTTTGAGTGGTATTGACTTTTTGTTGTTGTTTATTTTTACTTGATAGGATGATCTTTCAGCACTCGGTGAATGGTCCAACAGTAACGATAATCTTATTGAAACCACAAAGGTGAGTCTTGATGTAGAGTGTGTTATACAGGTTGATTGTATTTAAATATTTAAGACTTTTTTTTAATCAAATTCATGTTTTATTTTTGTAACAGGAGAAAAAAGGAGGGTTCGCTGGAATATTCAGGAGGACGCCCAAAACAATTGAACAACAGGTACGACATTATCGGCACTGATAGGCATCAAATACATGTATTTATTATATTCTGTTTGGTAGTTTAAAGGGGACCTATCATGCAAAATGCACTTTTGTACGTCTTTTATACATGAATACGTGTCCCCGGTGTTCCAGGGAACTCACCAAGTGTCAGAAAACACAACCCTCTCTATTTTCCTCCATACCCAAATCTCTAAAAAAGGGGCTGCAACGGATCTGATCAAAACTGATCCAGATTTGAACACTGTCCTGACGTCAGGACGGTGTCGCTACGGCTATTGGGCCAACTCCACCAATCAGGAGGAGACAGCCACGGCCATTGCCGTTCGAAAACGCTGGAGACGCTGTAGTACATATGCCAGGCCTGTAGATGGTGCTGTTCTCACATAATCCCTTGCAAAAACAGAGCTAAAAAATGTCAAATTGAGCAAAATGAGGCATGGCTAAAATGCATGATCTGTTTGGTATTTTGAAGAAAAGAAAGTATAAATATGCCTTATATAGGTATGGTCCTACACTATATTATTCAAATATAGCATGATAGGTCCACTTTAATTATAAAGGATCTCAAATGTGTACTTAAATACAATACTTGGTTAAATGTACATTTTCTGGATATCTCTGTGTTCATCTGCAGGACAGTGAGGACTTGGAGGCACCGACAGGAGGCATCGGGCTGAGGCGCAGGAAAACCATCAAGAAGAAAAAAAGAGTGAGTTGTTGTTGTTGTTCAATTGTTCAGCAAAACAACAACGGAAATCTATTATTATTATTATTACATCCATACTGTAGATGTGACAGAAAGCCTCAGGAGCACCAGGAGTGTTAGCAGCTATTCTTCACTGTGGTTTAGATGTTATATCATGAAAGAGATTAGTTGTATCTTGCTCTTCCAGTTTGCTCGTAATTTTGATGTTGAAATGCATTTTCTCATTAATAAAACGTATTTTCTTTTCTTGTTCTGTTTCTCAGGTTGTCTCATTCAGAGTCAAGACAACTCGTCCCAAAATGTCAAAGTTTAATCAGGTATGTGTTCTAGTTATTCCTCAGTTATGACAATAGACTGTATGAAATAGGGCTGCACGATATATCGTGTCGTGACGATAATCGTGATATGCGCATCACAGGACGTGCAATATTCTTTTTTTTTTAAGGACGTGCGATATTAAGTAGGCAAATTAACTCAAACACATTATGTTACAATTATTTTGCTGCTTGCTACAAAAGGAAAACTTGCGCGGCTCTCATGTCAGGGGTACTTGAGTGAGAAACAGAGGGGATTATGGGAAACCACCAATCACTACCATTCTTGATCAGATCACAGCAGGATAACCGCGCTAGCTCAGCTTGTTGCTCTGATAACTTAAGATCCAGACGTCCGTGACTAAAATCCTTCATCCGGTTAAATATAGTTAAAAAAATACCAATTGTATAGCATTAAAGTTCAAGAAAGGATGGTTTGCGGACAAAAAAAACGGTCTTTTCTTCAATTCCTGTATTTTTTTCATATCGCAATATATATCGCAGGGGGAAGAAAATATTGCAATGTCAGTTTTTTCCAATATCGTGCAGCCCTTCTATGAAATATGGAATATTCACCAAAGACAGATCTGAAACTGTGCAATAAAGAAACATGTTGGAATTGTTTTCCATTTATTAATTTCTTTCTGACCATTTAAATTCTTGTTGAAGCTGTTTTTGATAACTTGCAAATGTTCCGTGGATCAGTCCATGAGGTCATTAGAAATGTTCCTGGGTTATTTTTGGCACAGACGTTTTTTTTTTTTAAATGAATTTGTGTTCAAGGTGACAGATTTTTACAGAGCTTTTCCTCCACAGGGTTCAGACAAGATGGCTGATATTCAGGAAGTTGTTGAGATGCAGGATCTGAACCCAGCACAGGTTAGCATGATGATATTATTAAAAAGATAAGAGTCTGTATGATGCTAACAGACAAACAGAGGGGATGTTGGAGAGACAGACAAACCCTATAAACTGAGTTTAGTGAAAGTGTTGTTGTGTTTGTTTTGTATAGGACAGCACTGTGGACGTGCAGAATGTGAAGATGGCAGCTTATCCCACTGGAGAACACCCTCTGGAAACTGAGCCGGTGTGTTTCAGAGTCTTTCTCTCCTTTTGGTTTGGTTTATTCAGTCTGGCCTTTTATTTAGCCTAACCTTTACTGCTTCCTACGTGTATAATTATGTATGGTGCCACAAATAGAGATCCACCGATACCAAATTCTGTGCAATGAAAAACTATCATCGGCACATGTGTACATTTTGACCGGCAAAAAAAAGTGCATCTGTGATTTGTTTTGTTGACAAATGTCTATTATTTCAGGAAAGTGATGAATTGACGCAATGGTGGAACACAGTAAAAGGTCAGTGTAATGTTTGTTCATTACTTTAGTTTCTGTTTGTTTTACGAATCAACAGGAGAAAAGCACTGATTCATGTATACACAAAAATAATGTCACTTTTATTATTAAGTCATTAAAAATACGATTAGAGAAATCAGCACAGAAAATCAGTAACAAAAAACAGTTTTGTATATTTTCTCCATGTACTAACTGATATTTCTCTGCTGTGGCTCACAGGTTGGGCAGAGTGGAACGAGAACTCTAACATACAGGAGCAAGATGAGGAAATGTAAGTAAATTTTTGGGACTTTAATACATTTTCATTCAAATTCATATCTATCACATCTATAGAAAGCACTGTCACTGTTGCCAGGAAGCTCAATGACTCATACAAGTCCAGAGACAGCTTGAACTAACTAAAAAAAGATGAATGAACCCGAACTAACCATCATGAACCCATCATCAATTGTCTGCTGCTTCTCCAGGTGCAGGTTGAGTTGATAAAAAAAAAAAAAGTTTAATGAGGAATTATTGTTATGCTCTGCTGGGTTAAAAGAAAGGGAATGATAATGAATGATTCTAGGCCACATTGTCCAGCTGGTTTACAGAATCAGAATCAGGTTTATTGCCAGGTAGGTTGACACGTAGGAGGAATTTGACTTGGTGTGGTGGTGCATACTTTAATTATTTTAGCTGGTATGATTATGAAATTGTTAATAAAGGGCTTTCTTTAGAAGTAGGGTTGAATGAATCATTATTGTCCAATATTTGTCAAAGTTTGGTGTAGTACATATTTATCTTTGACCACCTGCAAATTTCCCTTTGGACACCTTCACATAGGAAAATGCTATTTCTTAGACACAAAAGCTTCTAAATGTAACTAGTGCACCATACTTTTAGTTCAGGGGTGTCCAAACTGCAGTCCGGGGGGCAAATGCGACCCGCGGACCATTTTGAATCGGCCCTCAGCCAATTCAAAAAGTATAATGGAATTAGGGCTGCACGATTTGGGGAAATAATTGCGATTTTTCTGACAGATATTGCGATTTGATTTGCGATATTTGTTTTTAAGCGACCCAACGGAAGTTTATTGTAAAATGCGGCCATATCTCCGGCTAGGAAGGTCGTATCAACGTGCTCCCGTCTCTAGCACCCCCACAGCCCGAGCTACGAGTGAAAGAACTAAACTTACATGAAACTTCCGTTGGGTTGCTTTAAAGTCAAGCTTCAGTTTAAGATTCACCCTGTAATAGATAACATGTGATGGAGCATTACTAACCTGACTCAGATGGTTTCACCAAACCATCTAGGAAAGCTCCATTGGGAGCCATTTGGAAAAGTATTTCAAAAATACTTGGCAGGTGATTGGATCAATCTGTCTATCACCTTCTATCATGGGCCACTTCTGATTGGTTAACAATGACTGGTACATGTGGAGCACAGCACTTCTGATTGGTGTGGATGACTGACACACAAGAAGAACAAAAAAAAGAAATTGCAGGCTTTGCGATTTGATAATTGCATCATTTAAAATCGCGATTTCGATTTAAAATCGATTAATCGTTCAGCCCTAAATGGAATACGGCCCACAAATGAAACTTGTGCTTTTCTTATATTGTACTTCTTAAATATAAATGTAAAAATATATTACACAGTAGTATTCATGTGTTAATAAGCCCACTTTTTAAAAAGATTCAGTCAATTCAAGTTGGAAACATTTTCTAACAAATCTTAGTTGATAAGAAAAAGCCCATTCACTTTTTTACATAACCAGTTTGAAATAGACCCTTCATATTTCCCCTTATTATAATCACTCTGAGGCTTCTGTTTTAAGGGATGAGTTGCCAACAAGATAAATGAAACCCTCTGGAAAGCTGTGAGGCTGTTGTTTTTCTTAAAGCATATTCATGTATCAAGCCTAATTTACCTACATTGTGCTAACTTATAACTTAACTTACGAGGCAATATACCCCACCTCTATAAGTGGCCCAGCCCTTCGTATATTTTTCTGTATGTGGCCCTCGGTGAAAAAAGTTTGGACACCCCCCCTGTCTTAGACATACAAGCTTCTAAATGTACCTTCACCTAGTGCACCATACCTTTTGTTTCAACCCTCCCCCTCATGTCTCTGTGCAGGATGATGGAGCAGGCGGCTGATCGAGTCTACATGGCCGCCCGTCTGTTCGTGCGTCTTTTCAACAAGCGAGGGGCGTCCTTACAGCATCGAATCCTGGAGCTGATGGCTCTGGCCGACGCTGCGGACGAATTCCACAAGAAGACGGTGCAGGCTGCGGTGGGGGGGGGGTGTGGCCAGTGTGGCGGGCAGCATCGCAACGATCACTGGCCTCATTCTGGCACCTTTCACTATGGGCGCCTCTATTATCGTGACGGCGGTGGGGATCGCCGTGGCGACGGCCGGCAGCATCACCTCGGCAACAGCCAACATCACGGACACAGTTCACTCCAACATGGACCGGAAGAATCTGGAGAAAATGATCCAGGGATACCAGGAGGAGATAAAGGACATCAGGGAGTGCATGGAGTTCGTGCAGGTGAGGACATGTTTGAGATTTAGTGGTTTGTAAGTCCTTCAAAAACTGTCTTCTGGTGCAGCAAGGGTCATAGCACTGTCATATATCTCTGTAATGTGTATGTCTTTATGTAAAAAGACTCCCAAGTATCAACATCTATAAAAGCCTAAAACAAAATGTATATACAAGACTTTAAAGTGGACCTATCATGCTATATTTGAATAATATAGTGTAGGACCATACCTATATAAGGCATAGTTATACTTTGTTTTTTTCAAAATACCAAACAGATCATGCCTCATTTCGCTCAATTTGCCCTTTTTTAGCCCTGTTTTTGCAAGGGCAGATTCTGTGAGAACAGCACCACCTACAGGCCTGGCATATGTACTACAGCGTCTCCAGCTCTTTCGAACGGCAATGGCCGTGGCTGTCTCCTCCTGATTGATGGAGTTGGCCCAATAGCCATAGCGCCACCGTCCTGACGTCAGGACAGTGTTCAAATCTGGATCAGTTTTTATCAGATCCGTTGCAGCCCCTTTTTTTAGAGATTTGGGTATGGAGGAAAATAGAGAGGGTTGTGTTTTCTGACACTTGGTGAGTTCCCTGGAACACCGGGGACACATATTCATGTATAAAAGACGTACAAAAGAGCATTTTGCATGATAGGTCCCCTTTAAGTACTTGTGAGTTTAGCATGAGAAGAGTTTAAGGAGCGTTTTACCAAGAGGTGTGTTTGAGCTTTGTTAATTAACTACACATGAAGATAGTTTAGTTAGCCGGTAGATTTATTTCACATTACAATAGTTATGGAAATATATTAACTTAAAGATTAAAATGTAAGTGATGGTGGCTTTGTGTAGCAATACTGGTAACATACTGAAGAGGTTATCAACCAAATAAAGTGTTGTAGGTATAAGATTATTAGCCGTTGCCAACACTACATATGAGAGAAGAGACACACACTGTACGTTGTTTTGTCTAAGGATGTTTTCTCCGGATCACATGCACTATTTTCCCCAGAAATTCAAGCCAAAATCTGGTTCTTTCATTCAGGATAAATACTTTTGTCATCCTGTAGTTTTTTAGTACATCATTAACTCTTTCACGTTACTATTATAGATTTAATCCAACCAAATTCTCCTTTGTTGAAGTCATATATTAGGAATCAGCTGTTTACCTGCAGGTCTTTCTTCCATGTTAAAATGTGATATTATTGACGACATTATTGTTTTCCAAAATATTACAGCATAATCTCACAAATATAAAAGAATAACACCAGATACTTGAAATGAGAGTAACTTTAACCCTAGTTTTGTTTTTTTGAATGTATTTATGGTGAATTCTAAGAAAAAAGTGGTGAAATGCCAGATACGAACCATTTTTACTGAAACAAAACACAAGTCTCACAAGAAGTGTCTAAATGAGCCCTGAGCGAAAACATGCTTACACACTTAGCACAGAACTCACGGTATTAATACTTTATTACTTATCTGATCTGCACAAACAAGATATCAGCTAGCAAGCTAAGATTCCACAGATTCTAGATATATAAGTATCATCACTGAGCGATCAAAACTCGCGGTATGGGAAGCGAACCCAGACATCACACGACGTAGCTTTAGGTAGCAAAAACGGCACATTTCTTACCTTTGCTGTTATTCTGATCAAAAGTTGTGTTCAATGGCATTAAAACGATAAGAATGCTGCTGAAGGTTAATCCATGTGTCTGTGTCACTTTGAAATGATTGCTGATAATCCATCATCATTCAAGGGTGGTTTTCACTATAAGTAATGTTTTATCTTTGGACGGACACTATAATTTACATTTGTTTACTATGCTCAATCTGAATTTACTTTAAAATTAAAAAAATCTATATTGATTCTGACTTTTCTACATCCAACTCACAGGTTTATCATTACTTTGAGAAAAAAGATTATTAATTTACCCCTTTTTAGAAGTGAAGATACAGTCATTTGTTCTGGGAATGTCATTTTCGAGCCTGAGACCTGGAAAACAGGCTTGGGGCTTAAAGGTGGGGTAGGTCATTTTGGAGAAACCAGCTCGAGTGCGCTAAGATTTGAAAATACACAGCCGGAAAAAATCTGCCACTTCCTTACAGAGCCCCTCCTCCAACACACACGAACGTGCACATGACCAATGAGGGCACGAGATAAGTTTGTGCAAAGTTGACAGGCAGGTAGGCCATCCAGTTATTTTAGCCGGGCCGGCTCAGATGATTGGTCCTGCTTTTTACAGCGCCACGGCTTCCACAGATGACATTTTTTCATGGATTTTTTGTCAAAGCACTTAAGATATTCATTGCTATCGGGATGTTAAGAGCATTCCATGGAATATAACAAAAAGTGTATCTCGAGCCGGTTTCTCAAACTTACCTACCCCACCTTTAACAGGTTACAATTTATTTTTTTAATAATATATTTTCTGACACGGTTCTCACTTTCCTTTCTTGTCTGTGTCCCTTCGTAGGCCGGTATGGCCACCCTGCAGGAGTGGGACTTTGAGAAATACTCACAGAGTGCTGCGAAGAAGGCGATGAACCACAACCTGAAGCACGTGATGAAGGAGGGCGGCCGTGCAGGAAAAGCCCTGATGATCAACACGGATAAACTCATCAGCACCGTGCAGATTCTGGGAGTGGCAGGCGGAGCCGCTAAAGCTGCGCAGGCCATCAGCGTCACCACGGGCGTCATGTCGGGTCTCTTCCTCGCTCTGGACGTCTTCTTCCTCGCCAAAGACTCTCACGAGCTCCGCAAGGGCGCCAAAACTAAATTTGCCACCAAAATCAGGGACGTGTGCAAAGAACTACAAGATGGCCTCCTGGATCTGAACAAGGTGAAGACTCAGCTGCAGAAAACCATGGACGGCATCGAGGTGGAGGAGTTCGAGGAGATCGTGGAGGTGGAGGTAGAGGTGGACGACGATTTTGAGTCTGATCCCAAGAAGCTGGCGGAGCTGGAGCAGGAGCTGGACCTCATGGAGGAGAAGATGGACAAGAAGGTGGAGGAGCAGAAGAAGATTAAAGAGGTGGTGAAGGAAAGTGTGAACAAGGAGAAAAAGGAGGAGAAGAGTGTGAGCGAAAAAGGAGAGGGACTTAAGAACAAAGAGGAAATAGAGGAGGAAATGAGAAAAAGGGATGCCATGACGGAGAAGGAGAGGAAGAAGGGAAAAGGTGGCGGAGAAAGCAAGATGGAGAAGATTTCTGCCGAGGCAAAAGAGCAGAAACTGGAGAGTGTCAAAGCAACTAAAGAGGAGGTTTTAAAAGAACAATCACAGAAAGGAAAGAAGAAAGAGAAAGAAGCGGAGAACCGAATCACAGCCGGTAAAGAAAAGCACGAGAGCAAGCGGGATCAGACCAAAGAGGACAAAAGTGCAAATAAAAAGACGGAGGAGAAGGAGAAAAATAAAGCTGGAAAAGAACAGGAGGAGATAAAGAGCAGATCAGGTGATTCCAAATACTCTGAGAGAGAGAGTCAAAGGAGCAGCAGAGAGGACGAACGAGAGACGAAGCATGAAGGGAGATCGCTGAATCAAGAGCAAGAGGGGGAGAGTGGGAGGCACAGCAGCGACAAAGATCGATCCCACAGGAGCAAACACGAAACTTTAGATATCGATAAGGAGAGGAAACCGAGCGAGAGGTCGGAGAGCTGGAGGAGGAGGGAGGAGGAGAGAGGAGGGAAGGACTGGAGGGCTAAGGCGGCAAAAGGGAGAGAAGGAGGCGAGTCTGAGAGAGGGACGAGAAGGGAGGAACATGGAAACCTGAGGAAGGAGTCGCATAGAAGTCAGGAAGGGTCGTCGAGGAGGGAGGAAGGGAGCAGCAGGGAGGAGAGGAGAGGAGGGAAGGAGACTCCTCACGATGAGAGGGGGGAGGAGAAACAAGTGAGGAGGTTTGAGAGAGCAGGAGGTGAGGAGGAGGGGGAGGGGGGGAAGGGAACGAGGAGAGAGGAGGGAGAGAAGAGAGGGAGTGAGAGAGCGAGAGGGCACAGAGGGTCCAGACCTCGATCCAAGGTGATGCTGGAGGACGGCCTCAATATCTAAATAGTTTACCTGTGGCATTTATTTTATATTAATACGCACATTATCATATAAAACCATTTGTGCCAAAATATTAGTTTAGTATGTTAATGGGAATTCTAAATGTGTTCCTGTTAGACTTAAGTGTTGAAATGTTAAACATGTATAGTTTCTGATATGCAGCGATCTTCTCTTCATGCTGTGTATTTGGCTGCATCTGTCAGGCACATGAGACTGCAGTTTTTACATCAAACATCATGACATCTATAAAAACAACTGATGTTCCAGATGACTAGATATAATATAACAAAGGTTTCAGTCATGGGATCAAGTGTTTAAAGGTTACGTTTGGTAAAGTCCAATTTGAAATGAGACAAAGACAAGTTTTCCTGCCAAAAAGTGAAGCAAGTCGATGAATCATGGAGTCATGCTGGCTCAGATATCAAGCTTCAGGTTTGTAAGAAGTTTTACAGGAAAGAAATGGAAATACTGATCTGTGTATGTGTATTGGATTTCTCTCTCTCAAGTTCCCCGTTAATATTGCAGGAGAACATGGTGTCATTTATTTGTAAAACCTCGACCAGTTATTTCAAATGTAAGACCATATTCTTCTCAGAAAACCACTTAGGAATAAAGCTGATTGAATTAATAAAAATCACATTGCACGTTGAAATGTTGTAAGCGTCCTAAAGGAAAGCCAACATTAGCTTCAGCTGAACATGCAGCTTGTCTCAAAGTACATTTGGGCATGTCAACATGAATGTGATAAACACATGTACAGTGTTAAGGTCGACTGGGACAAAAGTCTGATCCCATCATTTAATCACTGGAAATGTAGTGAACTGTTCTGGGTTCACTTGAACACCAATTCATCAAACGTTTGGGTTTAGCTTCTGTAAAGAAAGTGAAGACCCTGTGTGTAGAAATGTTACGTGATTATGACCGCTTTACTTTTGAATTTTCTGATATTGTGCTGAGAGAAAACTTCAGGGCCAAAAAGCTGCATTTATGGATGTTACCACTACATTTTCAAACATTGTACAGTAGGAGTTCTACTTCCTCTTCCATTTTTTTACTACCTAAAGCTGAGGCTCGTTTTATAAAAAATACTTTTTGCCATGGCATCCGGAAAAGAAATGCAACATCTGACCTCGCTGCCAATTATGTCAGATACCGTACAGTGGAGATGCTGCTACTATTATGATAATGACTTCTTTATCGATGTTGTGAGACACATTTATATTTAAGTCTTCAACGTGTGTTTCTGAAACACGGTGTCTGTTCATTTCTTTAGTTCTGGTGCTTCAGGGATAACTTTTTTAGGACTCTTTAAGTCTATAATGTGCCTTTTTTGTGGGTTTTTTAACAGGAGAAACACAGGAATTATGTCAAACTGTTGTTAAATGTTCCTGGGTGTCAAATCATTTTTTGTCTTTTTTTAAATCCAGTTAAGAAAATGTTGACCGATGCACTTTAACCTGACTCCTTCATGTGAGGTTTGCTGTATTTCATGTCACTTCTTGATGTATTTCTGTGTGTCTGTATTCATCAGCGGTGTCTTCTGTCGTCTCGTATTTGTATATTATCACTGTATGTATTTTATATGGGTAAATATTCTCTATGGTGTTGGTTTCTTACAGAACAAATAAATTATTAGACGTATTGGATTGTGAAACTGAACGACACTTTTATTTCCTCATTCCTTCACACGACTGACAAGACGTTTTTTTATCTGATGACACATTTACACAAACCTTTTAATAATAAGTCAACAATTTCACAAACAAAGGGACCGATGCTAATTTATCTTGGAAGAAAAAATACAAATGAAGTAAAAACAAATAAAAAAGACTGGATTTTGGACATTTAAACATTGAAGAGATTCATTGAAGGTGTCCTGTGGTGCTGTGGGTAACAGTCACCACTGGGCGGGACAGAGAGCTGAAGCTCAGAGTTAAACAAATACATTGTGTGTGTATTTCTTTTTCTAAACTCTACCTAATGGATTTATATAGACTATATAGAAATATTACAGTATGATGAGTAGTTTTTTTTACATTTTCCGATAAAACTACAGTATTGAAAACACTTGTGCTCTTAAACAAATGTATTTTTACATCAAGGAATTGCTGCTTATTACAGTAAAGCTACAAAAATAAAAATCTACAAATAGCTCAATAAAAACTAGTGCGTTCATTTCTCTTATTAAAGGTAGGGTAGGTACGTTTGAGAAACCGGCTCGAGATACACTTTTTGTTATATTCCATGGAATGCTCTTAACATCCCGATAGCAATGAATATCTTAAGTGCTTTGACAAAAAATCCATTAAAAAATGTCATCTGTGGAAGCCGTAGTACTGTAAAAAGCACGACCAATCATTTGAGCCGGCTGCGTTTGTGTGTGTTGGAGGAAGGGCTCTGTAAGGAAGTGGCAGATTTTCTTCGGTTGTGTATTTTAAAATTCTAGCGCACTCGAGCTGGTTTCTCAAACTTATCTACCCTACCTTTAAGATAAGATAAGAAGTACTTTATTGATCCCAAGTTGGGAAATGTTTGTTTTGCAGCAGCATAAAAAGGCATGGCATTGTACATGTGTAGTGATCACTAATTAACGGGGTTACATAATTCAATCAAGGAACTACAGGTTGGGGGTATTGTTTCCGCACGGACACATATGTTGACGGTACCTCCGGGGTATATACTGTGTCCTCCCTTTCGCTTTCTCTTGTCTTCCTGGGCTGCGACCCAACAACATGTCTATTTCTGTCGCTCATTAAAGTACCCATTTGCACCTTCGATGCACCGCCTCCGACTCCTATCTCTCGGCACTACATTGGTGACCCCGACATAAGTCTCGCGAAGGATCCGAGACTGAATCGAACACGGCAAAAAACATACTGTTTTTCTCTAAATGCCGGAGATTTTTGGAGACGTCCGTGGCTGCCATGTGCACACAGACTGAGGCTCGGTGCGCCCCACGGAATGGCTGAGGACGTCGCCCGCCATTCCCGCTTCGTCTCGGCACTGGAAGGCAGCAAGCCTTCCTACTACGAGGAGACGATGCACGACCTGCTAGGTATGGAGGAACCCGACTTCTACCTCGTGGAGCTGTTTCTTCGGGACATGCGGCCAGGCTGCGCTAGCTAACACTGCTAGTGTTGGGCCCCGCGCTTTGGCCGAAGAAGCTAGCCGGTTCTTCCTGGCCGCCCGGCGATTTACCCCTGAGGTGCTTGCCACTACACGCTGCAGCACCTTCCCTGGTGGGGGCACGCCGCCTGGCAGAGGCTCCGGGGCCGCCGCCGCCGCCGACAGCGACTAACGGCCGTCGAGAACGGCTAGCCACGACAGCTAACGGCTAGCAGCTGACGGCTAACGACAGCTAGCCACGACAGCTGGCGGCTAGCAGAGCAGCTAGCGGCTATCGACATCCGACTGTTTTTTTTTTGTGGTGCCGGAGAGGAGGTTCGATCAAGTCTGGTCGGCCTCGTGTGGATCCTTTCGCTATTTCGCCCACCTGTTTTTGATCGTGGACAGGACGACCCTTTTGAGTTTTTTTCTGGTGCTTGAGAGGAGGTTCGACCATGGCCTCTTCCCTCGCCTCGGCGGTTTCGGACGTCGCCCATGCCTTCATCGGCCCGTGGGTGGCGCGCTTCGGGACCCTGCCTGGCCTCGCCTCTAACCGCGGCTCACGGTTCGCCTCAACGGCGGCTTCGGACGGCGCCCCGTCTGGCCTCTCCCCTGTCCACGGCTCCCTCCTCCCGGGGACACGGCTCCTTCCTCCCGAGGACTTCGTGCCCGCCGCCGCTGTGCCTTCGCCTGCGGCCGGGCAGCGCTCCTCCCTGCTGGGGACCACCGGGATGTTCACGCCCGTCCCCGCGTCGCATCGCAGCGACCCTGCTTTCTGCAGCCCCCTGACGACGGCCCGTTCCGGCCCACCCCCCAGTGGGGATGCCCTCGCCCTCGTTGGGGCCCCTACCCTCTCCTGCGGCCCCCTTCCGACGGCCCGTTCCGTGGCCCGGCCCTCTTCTGCGGCCCCGCCCTCCTCGGCCCCTGTGGTGCTTCCTCCCGGACGCGAGGATTGTGTCCATGGTTGAATTCTGGGGGGGCTTGTGTAGTGATCACTAATTAACGGGGTTACATAATTCAATCAAGGAACTACAGGTTGGGGGTATTGTTTCCGCACGGACACATATGTTGACGGTACCTCCGGGGTATATACTGTGTCCTCCTCCCTTTCGCTTTCTCTTGTCTTCCTGGGCTGCGACCCAACAACATGTCTATTTCTGTCGCTCATTAAAGTACCCATTTGCACCTTCGATGCACCGCCTCCGACTCCTATCTCTCGGCACTACACAATACAATTAAAAGACAATAAGTAAACACATAAAAATGTCAACATCTCAATAGCAATAAAATAGCAATACAAAAAAGTAGAATATATACATGTTGAATTACAAATTTACCGTGACATTACAAATTTAAAGGATGTTCACTCCCATGTGTAATAAATCTCATTACAATACGTTTCCTCAAAGAAGAATTCCTGACTCCTTAACAGCAAAATAGGTTAAAAGTCAATGAACAGAAAAGTAGCAAAGGAACAGAATCAACGTGTACTGTGTTTGAGTGGTGGCTGTGTTTAACTAAGGAGGTGCTGATACAACCATATAACTAACATTTACAGCAATCTGACACCCTCATCAGCACCCCCCACCTCCCCTCCTGGCTACCCCCCCTTCACCTCACAGCCCCTGTCCCACTTCTCCCCTGTGACCCCCATGCAACTGTCCCACTTCATGACTGGAATTAACTCCACCTGCACACTTGACCCAATGCCATCCAAATGTGTTAAAGAGAGCCTCACTGCCATCTCCCAACTCATCGCCACCATCATGAACTCCTCCCTCAGATCTGGATCAGTTCCCCCCTCTCTCAAATGCCTCATTCACACCAACGGTGTTTCAGGGCCGGTGCGGAGCTGGAGCTTGAAAAGCACCGGGTTTTCCTGTTCACACCGCAGCGGAGCAGCCTCTTAGCTCCGGAATCCGGTTAGTTTCAAGCACCAAAAAATTGTCCGGCTAGAGCAAAAAAAGCCTGCGTTTTATCCAGTTTGTACACAACGATGGAGGAACTTAACAAGCAGCAGTGGTCCACTGAAGAGACCAGCTACCTACTGGTCTTCCATTTCGTTTCGACAGAGCAAAACCAAAACGAGTAGCGCTTCAACACAATCGGCCATTGTTGTTGTTGTCGGTGTGAGCTGTCAGGGGTGTCCGCGCGGTTTGGCTTTATGAAGCAGGCACGCAAACGGTCACAAAACGACAGACTTTGGGTTTAATGAAACACAAATGAATACAAATATGCATGTATACTTTATGTTAAAAACAGTGTGTCGTTTTTAGGGCTGTCAAGTTAACGCGTTAATAACGCGTTAACGCAAAAAAAAAATTAACGCCACTAATTATTTTAACGCGATTAACGCATGTGTATTTTTTGTCCTCGGCCGCCGTAGTTTCAGAGCGCATCGAGTGTAAAATACCATCGACAAACTGATGCTGACAGCCTCGCTCCTGCCGCCCGCTTGTGGCAGACCACACTTCCACGCTCACTGGCAGGCCCGGACTGGCCATCGGGAGGACCGGGAGGGCGTGTGTATGTGTGGCGCGACTCGCGCGAGCGAGGCACACCTTTAGTGTTGATGTTGTTGTTAGCATCTGGTGCTAGCTAGCTGCGCTAACGGATATAAGGAGTTGTTTCAATGACATTTCGCCGACAACTGCGCCGAGCACTTGACTTTATGCAGGTAGCCAGACAGTGGGACATTGTACGAAAAGTCAGCACAGTCAGCACGGATAGTACGCGCAACATGATTGCAGCGTCCAGGCAGCTCCCATTCGAGCATATATGCCTTGAGCTGCACATAGCTCCAACGATCCATCACAGTGTCTCCACATTCACACACACACACACACACACACACACACACACACACACACACACACACACACACACACACACACACACACACACACACACACACACACACACACACACACACACACACACACACACACACACAGTATTATTGTATGAGAGGTTCCAGGTTGAATTGAGGCGAATATTTGTAATGTTCAGGTTGTTGTGTTTAATATTCATGAGAATATTTGTCATTATTCAAATGATAATAAACAAACATATAAAGCATATTTGTCCACTCATATGTTGATAAGAGTATTAAAAACTTGAAAAATATCCCTCTAAGGTACATTTAGAACAGATAAAAAATGTGCGATTAATTTGCGATTAATCGCGATTAACTATGGACAATCATGCGATTAAATATTTTAATCGACTGACAGCCCTAGTCGTTTTATAGAGCTCTTTTTAATGGTGAATTGGTTCACAGGACAAAAGTGTTTCAATCTAACGGCTGTTTAATATCTCATTTGAATGGAACAAAAACATTTCAAACTTTATTTAAAGACTCAAATCAAAAAGTATTTCGCTAAACAAACATTTAAAAATCAGATCAGATATTCTGATGATGTTGAATAAGTCTCTCGACCAGATTGTGTAACATTTCAAATTAAAAAAAGGGATAGGCAGTCTCTGGAATATTTTCCATTAGCTCAGTTCATATCTTACTTCATAGTCATCTCACAGAATGAGGAACTCTTTTAGTTTACAGTAATAAGGCAGAGAAAGAATGTTCTGAATAACAAAGTAGGACAGACTCTATTGTCTGTGTGTTTATGTGTGATCAGTGTCCTCTGCTCTGAAACTGAGCTGCATATATAGGTCTGTAGGTCATGTACTCTTTCATAGAGGAATGGCAAACATCTGCAGATAAAATATTTTAAGACACTTTTATTTGCTTAAAGATATCAAAGTCAAGAAGCCAAACTGCTTAAAGAGGCCCTACTATGCTTTTGGTGGGTTTTCCCCTGTAGTGTGTTATATAGGTTTTTTAGCATGGTCTACAAAGACTACATTGGACTCCTTTGTTTACTTCAGTGACATCCCTATGTAACACTCGCTCCAATTTATTATACGTGATAGGCTAAGGGGGGCGGGACATCTCTAAGCGGTTGACCAATCACAACAGAGCCGGCCAGCTAACCAATCAGAGCAGACTGGGCTCTGGTTTCAGACAGAGGGTGAAAAGAGGTGCTGCAGCACAGGCAGTATGAGACAAATAAAGAGCTTTTTTAGAACATTAAAGCATGGAGACATGTCCCAGTAGAGAGACAACATACTGATATACACCTGGACATCAGCAGGAGAGGACTCTTTAAAGTAGAGACACTACATACTGATATACACCTGGACATCAGCAGGAGAGGACTCTTTAAAGTAGAGACACTACATACTGATATACACCTGAACATCAGCAGGAGAGGACTCTTTAAAGTAGAGACATTACATACTGATATACACCTGGACATCAGCAGGAGAGGACTCTTTAAAGTAGAGACACTACATACTGATATACACCTGGACATCAGCAGGAGAGGACTCTTTAAAGTAGAGACACTACATACTGATATACACCTGAACATCAGCAGGAGAGGACTCTTTAAAGTAGAGACATTACATACTGATATACACCTGGACATCAGCAGGAGAGGACTCTTTAAAGTAGAGACACTACATACTGATATACACCTGAAGATCAGCAGGAGAGGACTCTTTAAAGTAGAGACACTACATACTGATATACACCTGAACATCAGCAGGAGAGGACTCTTTAAAGTAGAGACACTACATACTGATATACACCTGAACATCAGCAGGAGAGGACTCTTTAAAGTAGAGACACTACATACTGATATACACCTGGACATCAGCAGGAGAGGACTCTTTAAAGTAGAGACACTACATACTGATATACACCTGGACATCAGCAGGAGAGGACTCTTTAAAGTAGAGACACTACATACTGATATACACCTGAACATCAGCAGGAGAGGACTCTTTAAAGTAGAGACACTACATACTGATATACACCTGAACATCAGCAGGAGAGGACTCTTTAAAGTAGAGACATTACATACTGATATACACCTGAACATCAGCAGGAGAGGACTCTTTAAAGTAGAGACACTACATACTGATATACACCTGAACATCAGCAGGAGAGGACTCTT